TAAGAATCTATGGGACATAATGAAAGCAGTCTTATGAGGAAAATTCATAGCGGTGAATACTCATATTAGGAAAATAGAGTGAGCTCAATCAATGCAATGGAGACAAAGAGAATGATACACAGAAACAAAGAAAAAGCCAATGAAATCAAGAATTGGTTCTTTGAAAAAATAAACAAAATTGACACTTAGCCAACCTCATAAAAAGAAAGAAAGGACTCAAATCCATGCAATTAGGAATGAAAAGATTGAAATTACAACAGACAGCAATACTTACTTTGAGAACCCATATGCCAATAGATGGGAAACATAGAAGAACTAGACATTTTTCTAGAAACATAGGAATTGTCAAAGTTGAACGGAGAAGACCTAAAAATTCTAAACAACCCAATATCAGTCAATTAAATTGCAAATATAATTAAGAATTTATCAATAAAAAAGCCCAAGTCCTGATGGCTTTACTGCTGAATTCCACAAGACATTCAGAGAAGAACTAGTGTTACTACTGTTTAAACTCTTCAAGAAATTGAAAGGGAAGTAATACTCCAAAATTCATCCCTGGAAGCAAGCATAACCTTGATTCCAAAAGCAGAGAGAGACCCAACCAAAATAGAGAACTACAGGCCAATCTCCCTAATGAACATAAATGCAAAAATCCTCAATAAGATACTAGCAAACAGAATACAGAAGACCATCAAGAAGTTCATACACCCTGACCAAGTGAGATTCAGCCCAGAGTTGCAGGGATGATTCAACATATGTAAATCAATAAATATAATAAACTATTTTAAGAGACCCAAGGACAAAAACCATATGATCATCTCAATAGATGCAACAACAGTGTTCAACAAAATAAAGCATGCTTTTTTTGTTTTTTGCTACTGGGGATCAAACTCGGGTCCTCGTGTTTGTGAGTCAGGTGGTGGCAAGACTGAGCTAAATCTCCAGCCCTAACAACCATTTTTGATTAAAAAAAAACTACAAAGAATTGGAATAGATGTTCTTTATCTCAACTTAATAAAAGCCATCTATGAAAAAATCAACGGCCACCACACTAAATGGTCAAATAACTGAAATCCTTCATGCTAAAATCACGAACATGACAAGGATGTCCACTGTCACCATTCCTGTTTAATATATTTCTAGAAACATTAGCTACAACAATTAAATAAAAGAAAAAAAAATAAGAATAAAGAAAGAAAATGAAGAAGTTAAATTGTCATCATTTGAAGATGGCATTATACTCTATATAGAAGACCCCAAGAACTCTACCAAAAGTTTTCTAGACTAAATAACTAAATTCAGTAGAATAGAGGGATATAAGGTCAACACACAAAAATCAATAGCCTTCTAGTACATGAACAACAGACTCACTGAGAGAGGAACTGGACAAACAACTTCTTTCACAATAGCATCCAAAAAAATTAAATACATAGCAATCAACCTATAAATCAAAGGACTCTATTCTGAAGACTACAGTACTCTGAAAAAATAGATTGAAAAGGATATAAGAAAATGGAAAGACATCCCTTGTTTTGGATAAGGAGAACCAATATAATAAAAATGGCCATACTTCTAAAACTGCTATGTAGATTCAATGCAATCCCATTTGAAATGCCAGGAGCGTACCCCACAGGACTTGAGAAAAAAAACCCAAAATTTATTTGGAATAAGAAGAGATATAAAGTAGCAAAAGCAATTCTAGACAATAAAGGCAAGGCAGAGGGTATCATAATCCTCAATTTAAAATTATCCTACAAAGCTACTGTGATAAAAACAGCATGGGGCCAGCGATTTAGCTCTGTGGTTCTGCCACCTGCCTTGTAAGTGCAAAGTTCCAAGTTTGATCCCTGGTACAAAAAAAAAAGAAAGAAAGAAAGAAAGAAAGAGAGAGAACAAAACAAAAAAAAACCCAGTATGGTACTGGTAAAAAAAAAATAAACAAAATAAACAAACAAAAACAAAAAACAAAACAGACTGAGGATGGCGGAAAAGATTAGAAGATGCAGAAACAACTTCAGACATACTCAGCCACCTTTTCTCCAACAAAGGAGCCAAACACCCTCTCCTCAGTGGAGGAAAGATTAGCCTCTTTAATAAGTGGTGCTGGAATAACTGGGTTTCAACTTGCCAAAGATTAAAACTAAACTTACATCCCTCATCATACACTAAACTAAAATCAAAATGGATCAAAGATCTAAATATTAAAACAGAAACACTAAACAGGCTAGAAGAGAGGTTAGGTAGAACTTTTGGGTGTAGGAAAAGATTTTATAAACAAAACCTCAGTTGCCCATGAATACAAGTCAGTTATTAATTTATAAAAGCTCTTTAAAAGTATAGTTTTCACATTGTTACAGGAAAAGACTTTATAAAGTCCTCAGTAGCACGGGAACTAGTACAAAAAGAATCAGCAACTGGGATCTCTTCTTGTTAAAAAGCTTCTGCATAGCAAGAGAAACCACCAACAGCATGAAGAGACAATGCACAATGTGGGAAAAACTCCACTAGCTTGTTAGTCAGACCAAGGTCTACTATCTAGAATATTTAGAGAATTTTAAAAAATAAGATCTGCCAAATTTAAAGACCCAATCCAAAAATGGGCATCAAAAAATGAACAGATATTTCTCAGACAAAGGAGTAGAAATAGCAAATAAACATATGAAAAAATGTTCCACATCAGTGGTCATTCGAGAGATGCAGATGAGAACAACACTGAGATTCCACCTCACCCCAGAAAGAATGGCTGCTTCCATGAAATCAATCAAAAACAAATGCTGGTGGGGATGTGGGGAAAGAGGAGCCCTGCTCCACTGCTGGGGGGAGTGTAGACTGGTGCAGCCACTGTGGAAATCAGTATGGAGATACCTCAAAGAACTAGGATTAGGAATTCCATCTGACCCACCTATTCCCCTGCTGGGTATCTTCCCAGAAGAATAAGAATCATACCACAGCGATATATGCTCACCCATGTTCATAGCAGCATAATTCATGATAGCTAAAACTTGGAAGCAGCCCAAATGCCCATCAACTGGAGACTGGATAAAGATGTGTTTTTTTGTTTTGTTTTGTTTTTTATAAAATTAAGTACAACTAAGTCATAACGAACAAGAACCTAGACACATTTATAGCTAAGTGGGTGCACACTGAGGACATATTCTTAAGTGAAATTAATGGGACAAATGTGTAAATACCAAATAGTTTCTCTGGTGTGAGAAACTGAAAGTGAAATAAACAGGGCACACGGGTAAATACCGGATAGTTTCTCTAGTGTGAGAAACTGAAAGCTTAAATAAGGGCTGCAGTAATATAGTTTTTTTTGTTGTTGTTGTTGTTGTTTGTTTGTTTGTTTGTTTTGTTTTTTGAGACAGGGTTTCACTATGTAGTTGAGACTGACATGGAACTCACTTTGTAGGCCAGGCTGGTCTCAAACTCACAGCAATCCTCCTGCCTCAGCCTCCCGAGTACTGGGATTACAGGCGTGCGCCACCGCACCCAGTAATATAGTTTTTGATAAAAAAGAAACATTCATTGAGGTCCCCGTTTTGCCTCTTTCTACCTCAGACCTTTTAAATCAAAGTAGAATGATAAAAGGTGTGAACAGGTTCAGGGATGCATTTTGTAAGTGAATCCCTGGGATAAATTTATCAGAGGATATGTGTTCTAAACAGTGAGGTCCTCAATGCCAAGAAAAACAATCATATCACAAAAACAACATGTTTCAAAAACTAATGCCATAGCATACTGCAGTAAAGACAGACAGCTTGTGTTAAGAGTCTACCTTCCCTCTGGTTAGCTCTGACACTATTCACATTACCTAACTTCTCTGCGGAGGTTTTTCATTTTTAGTGAGGACATAATAGTAGTACCAGGACCACCTCATGGAATTGTTTTAAGGACTAAGAGCATTAATACATGGGTGTTGAATAGCAAATCATAGGTATTTCTTTATTATTACTATCTGGAATCAAGCAAACACCTTCATTTGGTCACGAAAAAAGGGACACTCTTGGTTCAGGAGTCACAGAGATGGTGGGGAAGACTCAGAGGAAGCATTGTTTTCCCCTCAAAACATGAGCATCATGTTTGGCATCTGGTCAGTGGAAGAAACTGCAGAAATGAATTCACTGCCTTCCCACGTACTGTATTGGTCACAGCACAGCGTTTGTCACACTGGCCGTAGTCTCCCCATCTGTGTGACACTTTCATCACCCTGGGTACTTCATTACAACAGGAATTAGGTCAAAATTCATTGCATCTCAAATTTAGGTTAATGCTTCTCACTCAGTCATACTTTATGAATGATGGATGGATGATAAACGAATTTTTGAAAATAAATTGGTGGATTTGATGGCTGTTAGAGAAGAACGCTATTTATAAAGTGTATTTAATATTTTAAATAAAATGTAAATTCCTTTCACAATTAATCCAAAACTTAAATCTATGTCTTAGATTTCATTCAGTTGTGCTTTTAGTGCAACTGATTTTAACTCAATGATTGCATTTTTTGTGCATTTGCATTTAAACTTGACAGAAAATATTTAATGTTTCATAAATGAGTGAAAGTGTGCTTTTCAGTATTACTTCTTGACTAATATATTATTTTTTTCAAGAGAAAACAACAGAAAGCCTACTTTGTAAGAACTTTCATTATTTACATGTATATAACCTTATCAATTTAAATAGGTCTTTAAAATTTTTTTAATTTAATTAACTAAAGATGGAGACAATGTTCATAAAAATTTGAAGATATTACATAATACACATTGTATTGTCTACACTTCTCTCCCAAATTAACACACTGTCTCTGTCTCCCTCCCTCTCTCTCTCTCTCTCTCTCTCTCTCGTGATGCACTCTTGTGGGAATGATAAGCTTTTAATCTATAACTCACAAGGAGTACAATTATATAGGTGTTTTGAAATTTTAGAGCTTACAATTTGTTTTCATTACTTTATTTCCAAAAGGTAATATAGTACTTATATGTAAGGTAATTGCATCTTACCCTGTTTGAGTCAATTCTTGCCCTGGAAGTGTAGATAGGAGGAGGAATGTTGAAAGCCTGGGGAACCAGATATTCCTCAGCATCCATCATATCTTCCAAATCCTCTTCATCCAAGAGATTCTGAAAGAACTTGCTGTCATTTGGACTGGGAAGCTTCATACGGTCATCACCCTAAAAGATTGCCCATCAGACACACAAAAAATCATGTTTCCCTTCATCCTCCATAGCAAATTTATGTAACAGCAAAACAAACGGCTAACAAAATTCATGCACTCATTTCTTATTTTGAAAAATAATTGTTTGGCACAGCTACTAGATACAAAGAAGCTTATAATGTGTTTGGGTACGACAGGGTAAGATAAAGAAATACAATACCAGATAAAGTGTGATAAATGCCATTAGAAAGTAATAAAACAGGCTGCTATGGATATTTTAAAGTAGGCAAAATTCATTTCACATTTGAGAGTAATGGTTCATTGCCAAGATGGTATGTGGGTTGTGACTTTAAGAATAAATAATAAACGGCAATCTATATCAATCTTTTATCGTATAAGGTTGGTTTGATGCAGTAGAGTTATCAGAAAAAAGAAACCTCCACAAGACACCAAAATCTTTGTTACATTCCTTCTCATTTTATTTTTTATTAAATAATTTTGTTTTAGTTTTCAAAATCATACAATTTTTATTCAAGAATTTCAACTTATGAAAGTTAATTTTTTGGGAAAAACAGCTAGGAATCAATATCTCCTAAAACTTGGCTTTTATCTTGATGTCAAGACTACTGATACGAAGACAAAGCTCACCTTGTTTTCATGAGGGAATATAATTTAGTTTATCCAAGGTTTATTTGTTTATAGTTTTGGTGAAAATAATAATAGAGAAATGATTACACTTATCCAATTTATTGTTTCTACTATCAAATATGAAATATGTTTAATTCACTGCGCACATCAGTTCATATGAATCCATTTATTGCTTGGATACTGCATACCTCTCCAAACAAACAAAAAAAGTGTTTTAAAATATTTTTCTTTAAAATTAAATATAAATATACTGAAATTTTTAATTATTTTTCTTCAAGCATTGACAAGATTAAAACAAAAATCCATCTTCCTTGGATTGTGAAAGGTGAAGATTATAATAATGAATACGACTTACCAATAATGCTAATAAAAGGCAGAGTGCTACAAGGTTTGTCTGGGGATAAAAACCTTTTCATGTGCGTGGTGATCATAATTATCTGGTCATTCAATAGCAATGTTATGTGAGTTCTAAGGGAAGCTATAGGTGGTTCTGAGATGAAGTAAAAGTTTCATTTGCATAAATTTTTCTCATGATAATCTGTTTACTCAATATGTTAGGGTTCATTGTGATATGGTGAGTTTGCCATTGGAATGGTCTTAAAATCAAAGCCAAATGGACTAACCTGAATAACCAGATATCTTTGTGGGTCTCGAGCCATCCTTGAGAATTCAGCAGCCAGTTCCTTGAATTTAGGTCTGCTGTCTGCATCAATCATCCAACCTGGAAATTTTCACACAATAAAAGGTGTCAGTACATCTATAATTAGAAAAAAAGAAGCAAGATTTAAATTTGTGAAAAATATGGGCAAAAATGTGAAATAGTCTTTTCATGATGATCTGAAAAACAAAGACAGGGAAAGAAACACTTCAATAGGTAAAGATTTCCACTCAGTCTGTGGCTATTCATAACCAAACATCTATAACAAATACAATTTTTGTTTTGTTGATCTGATTTAAAAACATTACTTATCTGCCTGAAAAACATAATCCAGGGTAACTATGAGATCTTGTACTTATTGCTTTTTGTTGTGTAGAGATAATTTGTTTTTAAATTGTTTGATTGTTATAAATAAGGTGATTGCAATATAATTCAACATTTTGTATCTGGAATGGCATGGGAGAAGAACAGATTTGGTTATAATAGGGTACACTGACATATAGGTTAAGAAAGTAATTGAAGCCAACTTTTTCATTTTACTCCTTTTCCTGTTGTGGGGGGGAAATTGAAGCAGAATGATGGGTAATGTTTCTTCAGAAATAGCCATTAGCTTATCCAAGTACTAGTTTTTCCAGCATGAAAATGCTTTCAGTAGTTTTCAGAGTACATATTATTATTATTTAGCTGGGATTCTAGATAAAGTGCATCTTATCTCCTTAGGATCTGGTGAGCTGACGAATTGACATGAGTAAATGCACCACATTTTCTTTAATTTTTTTCAAATCAGATGATCCCCAGCTAAAATATTAAATCTCCAGATTGAAATGCTAAGACTAATAAAGACAAAATGTATGCCTAGTCTTACATCATTTCATCAGAGTATACAAATCATTTACTTTGCTGGTTACGGGATCAGATTATACAATGCATGCACGTTTCCATAGGCACACCAAACAATGTTTGATTGAATAAAGCTATAAAGTTTGTTTTGCATTTTCTGAGAGTTTTTATTCTTGTTTTGGGAATTCTTTGGGTGTCATGTATAACTAGTGTCATTTTTTTCTCTCCTAACAAATCTCAGATATTCTTCATTGTATATGCATTCATTTTAAAATGTTTCTTACTGCCAAGATGCTGAGAAAATAGGTGTTTCTGGGCCTATTGGAGCAAAGAAAAGGTTAACTTCTTAGAAGGTATTGCATTCTCTCTAACTAAATGTTGAGTAAATAAAACTATGTTTAGGGAAAAGGGCACACTGACCTGAACTGCAAAGAACATTTTTTATTCCTTCCCTCACTGTCAGAATGTATCACACTTGTCACGAATATAAATCTGAGTAGACCTGGGTCCAAAGTCTCTTATTAATAAGATGCTTATTCACCTTCACCAGTGTGTTTCTTTGCTAACTCTGTAAACCAAAAGGGGGAATCCCCCAGTTATACAAGAGAGATCACGGTGTGTTAATCTCACTTAAATTAAGTCAGAAACTCCAGAGATTTTTCTAATTCTGTTTAAATTAAGGGTATGGGCTTCCAAAGCACAGCCATAATGCACATGTGTCTGGGGCATAGGAAGGAGGAAGAAAAGTAAGAGACTTTGATGTAAACAAATGGTCGAGTTGACAAAAAGTAAAAATTCATGGCATCTTAGTTCAATGTAGAGTCATTTCTCTACATTTCTCACTTTCTAACTTGCCCTGCTAATTTGCTCTTGACTAAAACTTGTAAACCTATTTCCATTTAATTTATTTTTTGAGCTATCAGCTTCATGTTTTCTTTCCTTTCATTTAAATCATTTATTTAGTCTGATATTATTCATGAAGATTACTCATGTTAGAATTAATAATATTAATTTTATCACTAACATTATTTACTGTATCTCTTTAGAACAATTTGACTATCATAAAAATTATAAGAAAAAGAACACTGAAGTCATATAATTTTTATTTCATAGCATAGAATCTATATTATATTAACAATATCACACAGTGTTTTCATAGTCAGTTTGCAATTATTTCTGATCTTTATCAATATAGAGAAACATTATAAGGTAACCTATACTATCATTCTATTAAGAATTATGGAGATGATAAAATTATTTTGTGATCTTACATTTGACCATGACCATGTAAACATCAATAGTGCAGATGGGAGGCTGAGGCAAACGTTCTCCTTTCTCTAATAAATCAGGGATTTCTCGGGTCGGGATTCCATCATAGGGTTTCCCCCCAAAGGTCATCAGTTCCCATATCGTGACTCCTAATTGGAGACAAAATTCTTAATAAGCATATTAACAGTATAATTTCAACAAACAACTGGCTATGACAAAAAAAGAAAAGAAACAAAATTCTCCCTAAGAGTCCAAAGAAGATTAAAAACACTCTTCAGATTCCTGTATGCATTATACCAATCACAATGATAAAGCTTTTGTGGGACATATTAATCTTTTACTATTGCCTTGGAATTTTAATGCTTGGCAGAAAATTTAGAGTGGCTATTAGAATATAGACTCTGTTCCCCATTTCTACTTATAAGTAATGCTAATGTTTGCTGATCCAATTTATGTTTCCCTATACCACATTACAGTCCATAATACAAGTCATTTGCTATCTATATATGTGTTCAGTGCCAAATAAATATGATTGTGGGAAAAACATGGTATTCATGTTTTTGAGATTTGATTCTCTGCTGTAAAAGCACTAAAAGGCTAACCTGGGGCTCTGGAATGATTGTCATACATTATATGAGGGAACTGCAGTTCTCTTTTTAATTAGCAAAAAAAAAAGAAAACAAGTGGAACAAACATGTTAATTTATTAAAACCTATAAAAGCCTGAATGAGGATTAATCCTTATATAAGATATAATACAGATGAAGCGGGCATCCAAAACAATAAAAGGGAATCAAGAGTAGTTCATTCCTCATGTAAAATCTGACTTTCTCAAACTATTAGAATACTGATTTCCTTTGGAAAAATATTAATATTAATATGCAAAAAGACAGTTTTGAAAATAATGATTCTGATTAAAGCACTAATATGTACAGTAGAGATTGCTTCTTCAAAATAGTGATCACATATTTAAAAATATATTTTTCTTAGGAATAAAAATTTTAGAATTGGAAACAGCTAGGTGGGCACCATACTATTACAATGAGCTTTGCTGGCTGCATAGATACAGATCTATTTTAATATAAAACAAATTAATTAGGGCTACATTTTCAACTGCCATCTGTAATGAATTATTTATTTAGGTTGAAGTTTATACGACTCATAATTATCTGATAATAAAAGTATATATCTTAATTAAAAGTATATATGAACTTCAAATTATCCTTCATAATGGAATCATTAACAATTATCTCATTATTTTGTTAATAATTGCATCCTATGATTTTTAAGTACAATATAAACCCATAACTGGTAACACAATCTTACTGATTGATGTTTATTACATTCTTAATTTTACATATTAAAGAGGCTGCCTCATAAAAACCCACTGGTTACAGTTCAGTCTTTAAGACAGGCTGGCACAAGTTGAGAGGTCTATGATTGTCAGTGGTACTCAGTGGTACGCATAGAATAGGTATTTAATAGAACATTTTATGAACTCAAGCAGTTAACAAAAGATGGAATACTCTCACATTCTTAGGACTTCCAAAAGAAGTAATATACAAAGCAATTACAAATCAAAATAAAAAATATAATGAACAGAAGCATATAAACACAAAGGACATTCTCAGAAAAACTGTATCAGAAACATTTTACATTGCAAAACGTACATTGCAATTTCATTATCTGCAGATATCAGCCTTAAATCATAGGTGCTGCATATTTGTGTAAATATAATGAATATGAAGAAGCAATCAGTGATAATTTCCAAAAATGGGTACTATAAACCAGACTATGTAGTTTTCTCTGTTTTCTTGTGTCTTTTACAATCAATTACGATCCATCATAAGCTTTGAGGGCTTTTCTGAATGTAAGTTGTTGACCAATGTTTCAAAGCAGAGTATGACCTATCCATTTTTTAAATCACTAATAAACAATTTCTGGAATTTTGCAACTCATCATGAGGAAAACTACTGTAACCTAAGTAACATGATTTTCTTCAAAAAATAAAATTTACTATTAAAATATAATTGTTCTGCCAACATTTGTTTCTTAGGTCATTTAAAATTAAGTGCTGCAAATTACCGCATCTAATTCAGGAATGTTTAAGTACTAAAAAAGAAAAAACATATATACTTATATATAATATGATAATACATAAATCTGTCATAAAATAAAATTCTGCATTTATGTATATCTTATATTTATACTGTTCTATATCTTGTAATACGTAAATGCGAATGTATGTACTAATCCATTCATACATCATATAATGTATAAATCTATCATATAATACACATCATAGATTTCCTTTTCTCCTTATCCTTCATAGTAATTTAACAGTGAAATTCAGTCAAGCATTTCTCTATTTTTTTTAAACCTCAAACTCACATTTTCTATTTCTAAGGTAGCAGAATATGTGTACTCTTCTTTGAATTATTACTACTTTCAATGGCATACCAATTGGGAGAATGCACTTTACTGAAATGTCTTAAATAATTTTTTAAAGAAAAAAATTTTTTAATAAAAGTTATAAGGAGGGAAACATACTTTACTGTAAGGTAAAGATAATGAATTCAAAGATAATGAATTGCTTTCCTAAATTAAAAATGTATGTTATTTAGTGATTAATTTGTTAAATCTTTGCTCTAAACATGAAAAAATGAAAAATCTAAGCTTGAATTTGAGAAAAATAAATTATACCATACTTTCAAATCTCAACATCATCCATTTTATTTAAATGAGTACTGTTCTTTTATTTGTAATAAATATGAGTATTATATGGTATTTTTAAACTTGGAAAAGGCATTGACTCTTGCCATTTGTTAACAAAACTGTAAGTAGTCAGTTGCTAAATGATTAAATTAAAAATAACAAAATAAATGTTATAAATATTAATCCTTGGTATTATTGACTCTGTAACATTGCTGTTACTTCAAGTCATTTGTAAATTAAAACTAAAGTTTCAATTAATAGTCTACTTTCTCACATTTTCCTTCATTTTCTTTACTTTCACTGGAGTAATCTCTCATTATTATAAAAATAACCTGTATATTCATTACTGTAAAACAGAAATTCCCTTTGTCTCCTACAGCTTGCTATACTTTGAGTTGTGTTTTAAAAAGTTGTTGAAAATTAAGGCCACAAGATTATATGAAGTTGTCCCTAAATTAAATATTTGTTTTCCAAGGAAAACAATCGGGTAAATTCCTAACCAACCAGAGCTTATGGTAGACCGCTCAGAAGGGATATTGGCATTTTACATTTTAGAGAATCAGGAAACAACATAAAAAGCAGATAAGAATGCTTTTTTGAGTGCTTTTTAAGAAAGCAGAGTTAATTCCTTTAGGAAATGAAGCAAATAAATAGGTATTTCCAACACAATGAAGTACATATGGCTTGAACTAGTTTAAATAAATCAAAAATTATCTATTTTTTCCTTAAAAGCTTTACTTGATAAGGAAAATTTACCATAGCTCCAGACGTCACTCTGATGAGTGAATTTCCTATAATGTATACACTCCAGAGCCATCCATTTAATCGGCATCTGTAGAGAAATGAGAAGTGAAAGTTTTATAGTAAAAATCATTTTTATATTTCTTAGATGCTAGTCTTTGATCATTCTCAATTATATTTTTTATTTTGTATGTAAAGATATAAATATAACTAGATTATTTTCCAAGGTGGATAATATATTAAAATTTATAAATTCACAAAATCAAACCAAAAATACATTTGTTTTTTTAAAAAAGCTTCATAAACACTAAAAAAATAACAAAATAGAAACAAATTTCTATATCCTTAATTAATGTCTAGTATTAAGTAATTAATATCTAATATTAAGTTGTATGTAATAGTATGGCCTACAATATCAAAACTAAACATCAAATGGATATGCTTCAAAATGTATCCATATTATATTTTTTCTTTAAAAAAATGAGATCTCTTACATTTTTAGTTATCCCCTTTCACCTTCAGACACATTTTGGACCATGACTACAATGAATACTTTCTATATTTACCCACTTGTGTTTGCTCATATATTCTGAACACAACATTGCCTAAAATCATGAATTCCAGTTAGATTTGCTTTGTTCTCCAGCCACAGATGACCTCTCTTGTCTTGGCTAACCAGCATTGAAAATATGTACCATTTGTAAAATAGGAACTAGTCTATAACAGAATGTTAGAGGATCAGCAGAAATCCATCATCACTGTAAGAAAAACAACTCAACCCACATACCCTGCTACTGATGGGTCAGCAGAATGCATTTCAACCCGAAGGGCAGCACTGTCTAGCTGGAAACAAAATTAGAGTCTATGGCATACAGATAAACACTTCTGCTTTGCAGTTGAAAGCTTGAAACAAAATAGGCATTTGAAGTCATGAGGTTGGCTGTTCACAAGGTGACACCAAGGTAACTCTATGACAGAATCATGGGATTCAGTGAAAGAGAACAGCAGACACATTGAAAGTAATTTCCCTATGGGCAAGGAGTTAGCAGACTTTATGGACTACAGACATTGTGTTAAAGAAGTAAGTTTAAATCACAGGTCGCTTGATAAAGACTTAATGGTTACCAGGCATTTAAAGGTATAATGAATCTTGCTTTAGACAAATCTTACAGCTGTATATTCTTACGACAAGTGAAGTTATGTGATTTATAACTTCTACTTCTGTGCAATCCTATAGTGAATTTCAAAGTGATGGTCTCTACTGAAATTTGGTAGTAAACAAGCAAAAAAGGCTAATAAAATCAAGGAAATCCCAGATGATTCCTTAAAACTGAAGGTTTTTCTTTCTTTCTTTTTTTTAAGGCTTTTGTTAATCTTGCCTTGGTGTAAAACTTGAGTATATACAGCTATGTAAGCACTGAGAGTAAAATGTCAGTGCTAAGCAACTTAAGTCCTATCATTGCAGAATATATACAATATATATTTGCATGCCTCATAATGAATAAGTCACATAAATATTTTATGACATGTGAATAACCTTTTTTCTTTTTTTCAATACTGGGGGTAGAACTCAGAGCCTTCACACTGCTCTAAACCCCAACTTTTTAAAAAAAATTTATTTTATTTAGAGACAGGGTCTCACTTGTGATCCACCTGCTTCACTCTTGCGGAGTGCTTATAGGCCTGCCCTACCACACCACGCTAAGTCTGTTCTCTGCTGTTAAAATAACTTGATTGATCACATTAGTTAAGGTTGCATTTGTTTATTTCATTTGGATAACCTTGACCTAAGTTTCCTTAGTTTCCTTAGGTCAAGCTAATAGATCCCTACATGGAGACTAACCTAATTGGTTAGTCAAAAATTACAGCTCAGCAGTGTTTTAATGAGGAAGTAGAAGGTATAAATTGAGATCATGTGGTGGAAGAAAGAGACTGAAACTGGAGAATAAGGAAAGGTAGGCAAGGCACTAGCTAAAGCAGCTTTGCTCAAGCCCCTCTGATACAGCAGCTTGTTCTCTAGAAAAGAGTTAGAAAGTGAACAATGAAGGTAAATCATACACTATGATAAAAGCTAAGAAATCTCAAAAGTCATAACCAGATAACTGGAATCCAGAATACTTGGAGTAGGAAGATAGCTTGTGCAGAAGTTAAATAGAATGGGTTCTTGGTAGTAAACTCTCTAGTCTATGAGAACTTGTGCCTCTGAAGAGGAGTAAATCCTACACTTTTAGGATAAATAGGACACTTTCTGTGGCTCTACTTACATTTCAGTTCATGTATTCCTCAGGATTTTCCTACTTCCTACTACTGCAACTAACATGAAGACCACTTGGGTCCAGGGTACATCACCGTGTTTCACCTACCTTTGAGAAACAAAAGCTGGCCATATGTTTTATTTTTTGACCCTAGACAAGAAAAATACAAATAGTAGAAATGGAGTATTATAATTGAAATCTCAAGCTCACTGGTTTCTTCCTAAAAGGTATAGGGAGATAAAAGGATAAATAGATATCCTATTTAAACTATATTATAGAAAATACCAAATTTTCAAGAAACTTTCCTCCAAAAGGAAACATACCTTTCCTCCATCAGCATTATACTCTTTTTCATCTCCTTCCAAGAGTCTGGCTAGTCCAAAATCTGTAATTTTCACATGATTTGGAGATTTCACTAAGACATTACGGGCTGCCAAATCCCGATGAACAAGTCGTCTTTCTTCTAGGTACATCATTCCCTAAAAAAATCAAATTTCACAAAAAAGACCCAGTTAATGCCCAAGTTTTTCATATTCCATAAATTCTTAGCATTTTCTTCATTTCTTTTGCAAGAAGCCAGAATCTTGGAATATTTTCCATTTAGAGAAAACCTGGTGGTAGTGGAGGGGTGGCAAATCACAGATAGCATTTGGCCTTTTCCTCCTAAAGTCCTCCAAAAAGGAATAAATGACCTGCACATAAGGAGGGGCTGAAGGGAGGGCAGGGACAAGGGGGAAAAAATGAGAACCAAGACCTGTCATGTAGAGGTACAAGATCCCAACAATAAATGTAACTGTACTGTATACCTAAAATGTACCAATAAACTCAATTAAAGCTGAAAAAAAAGAAAAAATAAGATAAGTGTAAGATCATCTTTCTCAAAGAGCTCACATCCTTTCATAAACAATTTCAATAGTGAGGTATGCTGAATAAACTAACTTATGTTAGGACTGAGGCACAAATCCCTACCATTTTCTTCTAAATAAGTTCTGCTTGACATCATCTTTCTCCTACACATCCACTGCAAATAAATACACCTAACTAAAATTTTTTCCTAAATATTTCATTCACGGTCTAATAGTGCCCAAATCACTATTACAGATTCCACCAATACTGAATAATTATATTATTATTTTAAATGGCACATAGAGTGAAATACACCCTAGGGATCTTAGAAGTTGTCACTATAAGAAAACACAAATGAAATTAGTTTATAATGACCTACAACTTAGTCTTTAGTGTTATCTTTATAAACTACAGAGGACAATTAAAAATAAAATTTACCGCTGATTGCTAAGAGACATAGCCAGTTTTCTCCCACAATACATACATGAGATATTACAAAAAATACAGTGAAAACTTAAAAAAATTATTACAGCAGAAGGCACATTGTCATTAATTAGCCCTCAAAATAGTCCTCCATACCTTAAACACACTTATTCCATTACTTCTTGCCATTTTCTAAAGTGGTCTGGAAGTCTCTTGTGAGTGTCTGCAGTTGCCTGTCACAATTGTCATTATGTTCTGAACTGATTCACAGTCATTTTGCATTTGGGGAAGATGCAGAAGTCACACAGTGCCAGGTGAGGTGAATAAGGTGAGTGGAGACATGCTGTGACGCTGCTATGAACCTGCCTATTCACTGGATGCCGCTCGGCATAGCACTCGCTTTACAAAGACACTCACCAAAGAGGACTTCAAGAACTACTTCAGGAAGTGCCACGGAAGATGGGATGGGTGTGTTGGAAGTAAGAGGAAGTACTTCGTGGGTGATGAATGGCTGTTACTGTAATTGAATTGTAAAAACTTAAATATTCACCATGTATCTTGATAACACTTCATATCCGTGTATGTCTTATATGCACACTGTAACATGCATGTTAATATGTGTATATATTTATAAAATCGCAAAACCACAGAAGTAATAGTTATCTTGCTAATTGTACTTCGACAATGGACAAAGAGCTGCTAAACAAAACACTAGTCTTAACTAGAAAGTCTGTGTAAAAAAAAAGCCAATAAACTCAGAAGCCTTCGTTACAGTGAATGTACTTTTATTGACGAGTTAGGGAAAAAAAAATCTACATTCAACAATTTCAGTGGTTAAAAAAAATTTATCATCAAAACCAGATTTGGAGTATTATAAAATTGTTGAAGCATACACTCATGCCAATTGCAAATCAATGCTGTTGGCAGTTAACATTACAACTGTAGGATTCTGAAGGATTAATGTTTTTTGATATCAAAACAAAAGCTGTGGAAAACAGACACATAAATCACATAGGTCAGAAAATTATGAGCCGTGCACCCAGTAGAGTGTGAAGAGAAGATTGCTTCAAACAGCATCATGAGCCAAACTCCATATAAATGCCCATTAAACACAACCAGTGGAGATAGCACCATATATGGTCCTATCAGTCAAGAGGGAGGTGACACTGTATGTATTGGTGCTTTCTGAAGTCAACTGACAAATGGTATTTATGGAATTTCTGCCCTCTTTTCTAAGTAGTGCTTTATGTTTTATTACACCAACTTGGAAATTCCTAAAATATGGTGAATCTAATATAGTCCACATGTGATTTAAGGGTTAAAGATAAATAAATCTATTGCTCTGGAGATAAAGTATTTTCGTGTGACCCCCAATAATTGTGTTCCTTTAAGAAATGTCCGCACAAACATTCATCATTTTCTTTATCACCGTTCGCAGGTTGGGAACAGTTAATATTTCCATCAATGCATGTAAGTAACTCTTTCTGTGGTGCATCTACTAGACACCAAGAAGACAAAAAGGAGACAAGGCCCGTGCTTTAAAGAGGGATATTGGCTAATTAAGAAAGTGGGACAATACTGAATAAAAACTCAAATGGATTGATGTAATGCAGCTTTGAAGAGCTATATTCTGAGGCTCCATTTTGGAGTATAGTTTAACAACAGAGACTCTCTGTGCTCTCAGAAACATCGTCCCGGAACAAATACAGAGGAGAATGGGTTAGACACAGACACAGCTGAAAGCAGAAAAGCTAAAGAAGCAAGATGATAAGGCTGTAAAATAAAAGTGGTAAATCCGCAGTCCATAACTCTTTTTCAGGATTTTTTCTTCATTTTCCATGTAGGTGGGGTCACTCATTCTCTTTAACTGAATATCACATGTGACCCATTGAAGACATCTGATCTCCATTTTTTTCATGATCCCACACTACTCACACTATTACTTCCCAAGAACTGTAATTTTTACCACTCATGATACTCTTCCAACTACCCCCGGCATGAAGAGCTGATTCTTTTAAATGAGGCCAGAGGGAACACTATAGAGAGGATAATTTCAAGGTATATCTATGAAATAGAAAGATCATCCCTCAGAATTTATTGAACAATGAAAAAATAAAAATAAATTCAAATTGATTCTTTTCTTTGGCTTTTGGAGTTTAAGTGAATAATGATTGCTGGAACTAAATAGTATTCTGATAGAAACATAATTTTTACATTTAATAAACATTGGCAGGAATAGCAACAAGTACTTCACCAATAGCGAATTAAACCACATTCACCGAGGAATTTAAGACTCTAAAAAGGTCTGGATGTTTGTATTCCCTCCAAATTCATACTTTGAAATCTTATCCCCCAAAATGATGACATTAGGAAGCGAGGGCTCTGGGGGCACAGTGGTAGTGGTGCCTTTTTATAAAACACAGCCCAGAGATAGCCTTTTGCCTCTTCAGCAATGTGAGGCCATGGGAGATGTGTGCAATCAGAAGTGGGTCCTTGTCAGAACTCAAAGTCGCTGGCACCTTGATCTTGGGCTTGCCAGTCCTAGTCCTATAAGAAATCTCTATTGTTCATAAGCCACCCACTTTCTGTATCTCCTTACAGTAGCCCAAGCACACTAAGATACTCAAATGATTCTCTGGGCAATTCAAACAAAATTTCAGAAATTCTAAACTTATTTGATAATTCACATGTAAAACCACAATAAGTGATTAAACCATCTTTAACACTTTTTACAGAAAAAAAGCACTTTCTTCAAAATAATGAGAACCCAATATAAGAAAGGAGGTGACCATCTATCTTATAGTTTTCCCCACTTATCTATCATTAGCAGTGATAAAAACAGATGTATAATTTCCAAACTACCAAATACATATTTGTAAGGTTGCTTTGAAACTATGAGACTGTTCTGATTCATACTTCAAAGCATTAAGCACCTTAGTCCTATGTTCACACCCTGAATTAGAGTGTTAAATCATCTTTAAATTGCTCATAAAAAGCTTCTCCACAACAGGGTCATTAAGAGATGATTTTCTTATGGAAGATCTCATTACAGTCACATTTTTCTGCTAGATTACTTCAAAATAAAATCATTCTTCAAATTGGAATGTAATCTAACTCAGAAGGCAGACAGATATTTAAAAGTAGTAGTGGCAAAATTAACTGGATGATGTCCCTGGAAGTATTAGGATGGAGAAGGATCATTAATTATGATAGAGCATTGCTGCATGAGTTGGAAAAGAAATGCCAAGTTTTTCAGGTAGTAACTCCTACAATCCTGCCAGACTAGCTCAGGAAGGGAGCGTGATGGAGACATTATAACACCACAGTTAATAGTGATCCAGAACTTGGCATATAGCTTACACTAACAGAAGTGCTTCTACATTAGTTGGTTAACACAATCCTATACAATAGATACTGTTTTCATTCCATTTAAAACACAGAAAAGCCAAAGCTAAGAGAGATCCAGTTACTTGTTCCAAGTCATCTAACTAATGAGAAGTGGGATTTGATTCCTTGCTGTGGGATTCTAATATCTACACATTTAAGTCTACCTCCTCTTGCGATAAGTCAAAGGGTCAGGTGAGCATGTACAAATGAATGTACACAATTTAGTTATACAGCTTTAAAGATTCTCAGTTTTGGAGCAAAGATATAATATTAGTGTTTCTGTTGTATGAATTTCAGGACATAATGTTGTTGATTGCCTTTTGAAAATGAACTTTTGATTAATAATCAGTAAAAGTTTACAATTGTTTTTAACTTAGCAGGGACATTAACTGTGTAAGTTTAAGACTCCATTCTTGCTGTGGAACAGGGTTTGCACAACTGTGGAGTGGGCATGATTGTAGATTATGAGTCAGTTGCTTGGTTCTGCCATGTTATAGATGTGTGGCACAGGGCAAATTATTTAACCTCTTTCTCATTGGCTCCCTCCTCTCTAAATGGCCACAACAGAACCTGACCTACAGGTTGTTGTGAGGACTAAATAAATTAGTATTATACAAAGCAGTTACGTAGTAAATGGCATATAGTAAGTACAGAACATACAAACTTTTATTATTTTTTTCATAGATAAGTGTCAATTGTCCTAGAATGGACAAGAATTATCCTCATTAACTGGAATTGCTTATTTTAAAAGAATCTGTAACCCTCAGCTAATACATCACAGTGGGTACTCAATAGGTATTTTCAAATAGTTATACATATAGCC